GTTGCATAATGATGTGATATAGTTGGTAGCACAAAAGGTGATCTGAGTAGTTTAAGTGTTTAAAACTATTCCTAGTGTGGCAATAATTGTTATTGGGTAAATCACAGAGTTGGTTCATGTGTCTAACACTCAGTACATTGTCTGGCACACGTTGGGCACCACTTGTTGAGTGAATGGATGGCTAATTCCTCTCATTGCTTGATTGGTGATCACTAGCTTCCAGCCTGCCCGAAGCACCATTTATTTAATTCACCTTAAGACTTTCCCCACAAATTCTACATCCTTGAAGAAGGTGGCGTACATAATAATGGGAGAAGGCATGGGAATGGAAGCTGCAGGAACTGGTGGGGAGATCTCTGGCAGTTCAGAGGAAGTCAGCTCTGAGAGTGAAGCTGAGTGTTTTCAGGAGAGAAATAGAAATGTTTAAGGGGAGATTCAAGGCAACTCTCCAGGATGGGGGCAGTAGAGAAAGTACTTCAAATTATGGCACTCCACTAGAAAATATTGCTTTCATATGAACATTTATAGAATATATTTGGGACATCTCTTTTGAACTCAAAAATAACATTCTGTAACCTGTAAGGAAATGTAAAAATGTAATGAAAAAGTGTAATCATATAAAACAACATGAAATCCTACTAAACATCAAAATCCTTTTGTGGAAACTGAAACTCTTAGAATGTGTTTTTGAACTGTTTGTTTATTTGGTACTGATGGCTATATGTGGTCACAGAGACCAGCAAGGCCATGACAGTTCTATTTACCAGTTTGAAAATATTGGTCTTTAGACCATGCATGGGGAAATTCTATGATGTCCTAATTGTTTACTGTACTCGTATCTCGGATGATAGTCAGATGAGAGATGTCCACACTTCACTTAATCTTCCCTACAGAGATCATTATTGATTAGATTGTACAAGACGAGAAATACATATCTCTAGATTTTATTTTTGTTTCTAGTGACACAATTTGACAAAGACTTGTAGCAACGATTAAATTTTGTGCCTCTTCCTAAACATTATGAATCTTGTTCTCTAAGGACAATAGATTATGGTTTAAAGGGATTTATTTAAATACCTTTGTGCTCTTTTTAAGTAACTGTCATATATCTCGGCTTAAAAAAAAAAAAACTATTTGGAGGCAAGAAGTCATTAATTAAAAATTGAGAAGTTTTCCTCCTTTCTTTCTCCCTGTTTCCTCACTCCTTCCCTTTTTCATTTTCTCTTCCTCCTCCCACTTTCCTCTCTCTTTTCTGACAAGCTGTGTAACAACTGTATCCAAGTTCCCAAACTTTTTACTCTCCAAATTCTTTCCCTGCCTTCACCAAGAGGTGAACAGACCTTAAAATATTGTTTCCATGAAATCAGAACTGTCAGCACATGTGTGGGCAAGAGAAAGGAGTTGCAAGGGAACATTTATCTTGGAAATGTTTTTGTGTGTGTCAAACAGATGAAATTATTTCTGAGTTTAAAAATGGTCAACACAACTTGGAAAACATGGCAATATTTATTCATGATAATAAACCTGTTTTTAATGAAATCCATGGATGTCCGAACACAAACTGAATCATGACAACCCAATGGCCTTTTGTTACAAAAAACATGACATATGTCCCATTAATTTGCTAAATGATACGAGTGCAGAGAAGGATGAATCAAAAACACTAAAATCCTTTTAAACACACCATCTAATATAGATATCAATTCTGGAAACGGCATTCAAAAATAGTTCCTCTGCTTTAATTTCATCTGCTGATTTTTTGTTACTGTACTTTTACAAATTTCTTTAAAGCTCTAATTGTCATCATTCATTTCAACACAAAACTGCTAGCACTTTGGCTTGACTTTTCATAGAGGACTAAATTCTATCACACTAATACATATGTAGGGAGGTATACAATGTCATTTGGAAATATATGAGTCTGAAAGGGCCATCATAAATATCCTACAAACTATATAGTTCATAGGCTATATATACCACATGGTATATATGATGGTTGACTAGATAAAATTATATACCTGTCTGATTTGATTGTCCCTAACAACTTCAGACTTCTTTTACATTAAAGTTACTTATTTGGCAAAAAAAGTTTAAGTTTGCTAGAGATTTAAGTTTCCACACGTACAATTAAATCAAATTCCTAAATAACTGTTGCTTTTCAAAAATTCACCTTGCTCTTTTCCAGAAGTCATTTGGACCCATTTGATAACATACAAAAATCAAACTAAATGCAAGAAAAGACCTTTCTAAATAAAATTTTCTTATTGTTAACTTAAAACATGGTCACCCTATTATAACTTTTAAATTGAATTATTAGGATCTGCAGATTTAAAAAAGACAATAATCATAAATAAAATCCTAGAAAGAAAGGCACTTATGCCCTGCACCTGGTTATTCCAGTCTGTAGATGCTACAACCCTTTTCAAATGGAACTGGTTTCTGGCCTGCATACAAATACAGCAAAGTGCCAGAATAAAATAATATCAGAATGCTTGTGAAAAATAATCAAGTTTGTTACCAAATGTTTCACATCAGTAGGAAATTTCTTTAGAGACTTCTGATGGAAATTTGAAGTGTATGCTGTTATATCAAGTGCAGGAGAGGTATAAGGCTGTTGGAGAAATTTCCTTAGTTTGTTGACTCAAAAGCCAAAACAATTGTTGTAACAAAAAGCTTGACAAGATAATTAAATGAATGATAACAAAATCTCATCAGGGAAGTGCCCATTAATTGAATTTATTTGGGAGCATGTTTCACATGTATAACCAAATTATCTAATTTTCACTCATATTAAAAAGTGATAGTCTATAACAACTAATTACTAGAAATGAAGAGAAAGGCCAGTACTTTGAGCCAATAACACAGAAGAAAACAAATATCAAAGGACTGCCACCATATTCGACAGCTTCCTAAGAATCCATTCATCATTTTGCCCTATGAAAATATTTCTGTGAAACTCGCCAAAGAAAAGAATCCCAGTAATTTCTATGTAGTAGTGTCTTTAAAGCTGGAACACAAAACCACATTCTCTGAATCCTTTCATTACATTAACATGTGTCAGTATAAGTGTGCCAACAGGTGAAATAACTGAGAATAATATGTTATAGATAAAACAATTGAGTTCTGGTATTTCTTTTCTGTAAGAAGATTAGTGCCATCCTTGTTTTCTTCTTTAGTATTACGTATGGTTGATTTTTAAAAAAATTTGTTGCTGTTTTTATGTTATACAGATTAAAAAATTGAATTAAAGAATTATTATGGTCAACTTTTAAATTTGAAATGAAGAATGAAATAATCTATACTTTACTTAGATTTTCTACTTTGAGCTATTAGCATGATCTCTCCAGATTCAAATTGGGTATTTTTAATGCTTTAGCAAATGACTTTCCAATTTCCTAAAGTTAATAATGAAACTCATTATATATCTGTAGCAGTCAACTAGATTTTGTTCACAGTCAACATATTCAATAAAAATTTAAAACTATGAGCTCTGTCACTCTTATATTGCTAATGCCATCCTCTAAAACAACATTAATCTGTTGGAAAACATTTGGCAAGAATTTTGTATACTAGCAAGACAATGAAATAAAGTCAATTTTGGCTTAATGTTTGTATAAATTGTAAGCAGCTTTGACTATTTGCAGTTTCATCAGAGGCAGGAAAATCTGAAGTAATAAGTGATGACAGGAATATTCTTTCAATTTTGCAATTTTTTTCTAAAGAAAATTATCATCTAAATAAATATACTTTAAACATATTGGGTAAAATTTCATAACAATATTCAAAATATTTCTTGCATTTAAAATTTATGTTTCAGCTTTAAAAACAGTTCTTAATGTTCTGTTTATTGTGGGACATGATTTTACATTCAGAAAACTAGCTGTTGTAATTATAAATCTAGCAACTAACACTCATTCACAATGACTTCATCACGACCTGAAACAGTAATAAAACTTAGAGCTGCTTTATCTTCCACAAAGTTGATGCTACATTAATTTAAAAAAAAAAGAATAGAGCTATGCTTTGTTTTCCTAAATCATTTCCCTAAATTAGTATAAAATAGATGCCTGTTAATGGTATAGCTATGTAGATCAAGTAATAGATAAGTTTAGAGCAACAGATAGGTAGATAGATATAAATATGGCCATCATTAAAATAGAATGGTTTTGCTAAGTGAAGTAATGCATGTGAAAGATTTCGTTTATATCTTATTTTGTTGTCCTTTCTATTTCTGTTTTTATCTTTTGTTTAATCAATACAGTAAAAGACAGTTTTCTGATTAAACAATATTTCAGATGTTAAAACAATTCTTTTTATTTGTTTACATTGGCAGTTCACAGTCTGAAAGCATAACCAATCAGGCAAAAACTGCACGTAGACTGCTCTGGATTTTGAAGACTTTTTGCTTCTAACAGATTTTTATTTGAAGTTACGGAGCAATATCTACATTTTACTGATAGTTAATAATTGGGAGGGGGAATTATAAGTAAACAAATTCCTTGAAAGAGAAGATTTTTATCTTTAGTGTTAGCTTAATGTCTTGCTCAGCACTTTAAAATTTTCTTAGAAGGATAACTTTCTAACCACTACTTTATGATAATTTAATCACCCTTATATTGTGACCCTAGCTATTCTATTTAATGAATATTGCACATTTATTTCCAATAGACCTGTTCCTTGATAATCAGGATTGGAACCTGTGTTTCTAACTGAAAACAATTGGCACATTTTATTTCCACACCACTTTCACATAAGAGGTATTTAAAAATACAAAGCTAGTATTTTTTTCATGAGTTCCTGGGCTTAAAAATTCAAAATATTAAAGTTTCATCAGTTTCATCTTAGATGAGACTTGCCTTTAAATACACGGTGTGTTTTCTGTAGAAGTTACCTATATGTCTTCAAAAACCTGACTTGTCTAGAAAAATGACTCTCTGAGACAGTCATGTTTCTTTTTCTGTTGTTGTTCTTGTTTTTTAAAAAAAGACAAAACAGCAATAAACATTTTAGCTCTTTAATGAGCAAAGATCATGTCTCTTAGCATTGGACTAATAGTCATTATTATCTTTATTTCACGCAATGACCAGTGACATGGCCAAGATGTACAAAGTTGTTTCCATCAAGTAGTATACAATTTTTTTTTGTATAATAAGCTTTCATTCTTGAAAAAGAGTAACTGAAAAGAAAGGTTTCTGTTACTGCAGTTAGTTTGTCAGAGAAAGTTCTTTGCATTATCTTACAAACTATCAAAATTGCTAGTCATCTGAAAAAATGTAAAAAAAAATCACATAACTTTAGTCTAATAGAAATATAGTACAGGTAAGAGAGAAAGTATCAGGATGTGCTCTTTAAGTCCATCTCAATTTTTTTTAATACAAATGTACATCTGATTACATATACAAACATTTGGAAAGGTCTGTGATATACTGTTACTGGTAAACAACAGGGGGATGAAGAGTTTCCTGTGGTCTTAGAATATTCATTTAAAATCACACGCATGTGTAAGACTAAAATCCTCCAGGTGTTGACTCTCCTTTTAGGTTTTGCATCTACGTTGCACTCTACTGAGATTGCGTGAATAAATTCCAGTGAAAGAACCTCAGTGAGAAAGATAAGTGACGTGAGAAGGGACATAACTTTATATTGAGTTATTATTAGTAAACGTTTTGTCATGCAACATGAGTAAATCAATGAACTGAGAACTGTAATCAGAGTGGTAATTTGGGGCATCCTTATATCATAAAAGACTAGTAAGTAACTCTTTGGACACACTTCACCTTACCAAAAGGAACAAAATACAGAGTAACAAAAACCACAGCAAAGTATAGATCCTGTAACACATGTCCAATTAGGGTTATATTTCCATGAAGTACTTAGATGGGAATGAAAAGAATATTAAAAATATAGGAATTTTTTTTTCTGGGATTCATATCAGCGAGTATTTACCACTATACCTATAGTTTCTTCAAATACCTTTCATAACTAATTCCGTCTATTATCAAAACTACTGTGAATTATTTTATTGTAATTACTTTTGCCCCTTAAAATCTTCTTTAGGTTCTGCCAATTGATGGAGGAAGCTTCTATTAAAAACTCCAATGGGATGAGAAGAATTTTAATTACAGCTTAATCAGCAGCACAGCCACCAAGCATATAAATTATCATGCACATCGTGCTAAAAATATCCAGTTTCCTTTATCCCCACAAATTTATACTGACAGCACTTATGTGATAATGTTGTACCTGCCAGTCTTTAAACTTCGTTGTTTTACTGGCAAATTTCAGCATGAGCCTCCGCTAAGGCCATTAACAGCATTGGTGCTTTGTGTACTTATCCAAATATGTAAATATGGTCTACACAATAAAACAGCTCCAAATAAAAACTGGTGAAAATTATCTGACATTCCATTGGTGTGTCCCTTGTGCATATTCATGGTTGTTTTTTTAATTTTTTATATTTTATATTTCAGACATAGTTCTTTCCTGTTTGGTGTTCCACATGCCTAATTCCATCATGTAACATAAATCTTCAAAAAATTAATTCTTGAATGTGAATGAAAAAGTATCATTCAGAACAATTGCTTCAAGCAATTGAAATTCATTTTTAAAGTTGATTTGTGTATATATGTACAATTCATGTTTTTTCCAAAGCCCCCAAAGTTCTTGATATGTATATTCACATAGTATTCCTCCTTATTTAAATAGTAAGTGTCTTGTAGGTTGAAAGCCAAGGAATCTTCAGTAATTGTTTACTGCAATCCATCAAAAAAATAGAGTTTGCTTCTCTTATCTGGCTATACCCTGGTTGTTGAATGTGAGTGGGGGTGGGGATGAGGATGGGGCAGAGTATTGTTCTGTCCTCCGGTAAATGTATTGAATGTGTGTAAGGGTTGAATCCCTGGTATAGTGTTGGGAATCATTGTAATGGTGTTGGGTGTCATTAAGGGAACATCATCAGGTGACCTCCTCATAGCTAGTGTGTAATCTGGGGGGCAGGCGGTCCGAAGAACCACCTCATGTGGATGGATGGACTCACATTCATGATCCAAATCGGTGTGCTTCATTTGGAGGGACATGATCTCCTCTTCTTGTGCGTGGGTCAGATCATTCGTAGTCGTGCGCTGAGGGCTGCATCTCCTGTGAACATCATGTCTCCTCTTATCCTTTTTGTAGTACAGGGCTGCAAAGGCCAAGATGTTCAGAAACAGCAGTGATGCTCCAACTGCAATAGTGACGCTCAGCTCTGTTGAGTAGTCCCTTTGATCCACTGAAAATGGACTCGGTTGTTGTTTGGGATCATCCTGCTTGGCAGTGGGAAAGGCTGATGTGACAGATACAGAATTTTTTCTCGTAGGTCTGAAAGTGATGTCAGTTGATGGCACTTTAGTTGTTGTCGAGGTATACTGAGAAATGTCATTGAGATTATGCAGATGAGGTACCAGCTCCAACCAGAGGTTTACTTTATTGGCTCTGTAATGTTCTTTAACTCTTGGTTTTAATCCAATATGGAGATAAAGTTGGTCTTTCTGGGAATATCTGGTCCATGCTACTTCTTCAAAGCGGTTGGGTTTGGTATGGATGAATTTTGTGTCTTGAGGGACTGGTTGATTTGGGTCGCTAGAAAAGAGAAATTATGAGAAGAAAATTGTTTTATTCTTTTAAAAATCAAAACAGTACTGGTTTAACATCTAATTGAAGAGGGTGAACTCAGCCGGGCTTTAGACTGTGTTTTAACATAACTTGGGTCAATTTAGAAATATCAATCCCAGCTCAGGCAGGTTGTTGGATGATAATGTAGTATAAGTAAATCTCACATTCTTGTTCTCTCTACCCACGGGCTGCTATATACCCAAAGATTTAAAAATTCATGTACATATGAGTTGTCTCATAGGCAAGCTAGCAGAGACAGCATTGGAAAAAACTTGGCATTTGGAACTGGCAGGTGAGGATTTGAGTCCTGATGCTGCTGTACACTAAACATATGAATATCCAGGTAAAGCTGTCGTAGCCTAACGTCCCTTTTCTGTAAAATGGGATTATAGTATCTGAGCTGCTCACCTCACAAGGTAGTTGGGAGGATCAAAAGGCATACAGTACTGAAAATTGAAAAGTCTTTATAAAATATTTGTCACTATTGAATAACAATAATAAGAAGTCCTGTGTAATTAAAAAAACAAGATAAATTTAATTATTGAGTAATGCAATAAAGGTATGACTGTCTTAAACTTTACAAAGGAAGAATAAAGCAGTGATTTTTTTTGAAACGCCACAAATATAAATTTTGAATAAAGGAACTTAATGTATTGTTGGTATTAATCTATTAAATTAAATCATTTGGACACAAAATATGTATTTTTTAAGTGCTTAAGAGGATATTTTAATTAAATTATAGCAAATTTCATTCCTTAGGTACATACCCAGTTTTAGCAAAATTTGTCCAGTATGTCATTACGACTGCGCTCAGCATCACATCATTTTTGGAGAAATTGCAAGGAAATAACTCTGTAGGTCCAATCATGGGGATTCCTAGTACGTAGGGAACCTCATCACCATGAGCTGCGTCAGCCCAAGCTGGAACCTGATCTGTTTGGCAATGATGGTAAAAGGCATAGAAATATGTGGGTGAACCAAAGTTTGAGTGAAGATCTGCTGTAGCTACAGCTGGTGCCACCCACTGATGGTCCGTAAACAAAGCTAATAATGTCTTCCTTCTGGTTTCAGGGTTATGACGGTCAGCCCAGTCAGTATACATGAATTTAATGGTTTCTCTCAAAACATCTTTGCCTTCAGGGTATCCATATAAGTTATCAACAAAATTAGAAACAGCAAAGTCAAAATCACTAGCGGAGATACCATCATCGCTATCTACTATATTTTCAACAAATTTTAACGCTTCCCCTTGGTTAACTCCTAACATTATATCATAGTTGAGAAACTCTCCTTGCTCCATCAGTATCTGAGGATCATCTGGTATTACATCACCATCAATCACAGGTCCAAAGGCTATGTGGTATCGTGCTGGTTGAATATCTTGGTCAACAAGTTCTTTGTAAGGCTTCTTCTGTAAGCATTCCACTAACTCTACTGTATCTGAAACATTGCAACCAACTTTTGTGGCCAACATTCTAGCATATTTTGCAGGTTGGAAACTAACAGCCCAGCTGGAAAGGGCAGTTCCACTTTGAGCTATTGCTCGTTGAAAAAGTCCTATAGGAGAAAACAACAAAGAGTTTCAGATGACCTTTGAATAATGCTGTGGTAAAACAATAAAATCTGATATTTGAGACATGTCCCAGATATGACTCAAGAAACAGGGAGACAGAGACAGTTTTGCTTAAGAGAAGGTACATAAAGTCATCCCCAGGGTATAATGAATTCGAGAGGTGGACATTAGTCATCTGCTTTGAGTAGCAACTACTTTGGGATCAAGAGATCTAAATTGTGCAATGTCTCAAAAAAGCAGTAAGCAAGGAGAGAAGGAGAGTGTGGAAATACTTGTGGCAAAAAGGCCCAGGTGTTTATTTGCTCAGCATGTAAACACCTACGCTGTTACCATAGCCAACCAGATGCGGCTAACTCTCTCCCCTTTAATTCATCATCAGACTTTGTATTGTCTTTTGAGTATATTTCCTCCAATTTGGTTGCAAGCATCTTTCTTCAAAATGGCTCTGTGTGTTTGTTTTAATCAGATTTTATGTGAAAAAAATTGTTCAGACCTCACATAACTACTGGGGCTGGGAATTTGCTAATACCCTGGGGATGGCCCTAAAGACACACGAAACAGAATATTACTTTAGACATACTCTTTCCAGTTCTTTATGTCAGACATAGTATGCTGAATATTCATCTTTCAAAAGAAGTTATAACATTTGAAGTATTTTCACTAGGTTAAAGAAAAAGCCATCAGCAGAAGGATTTAGTGGGGGGGGGTGATTTAACTTTCTCCACTGTTGAATGTGCACTGCTTTATTTTATCATAAAAGATGAAAAGTACATGGTCCACTGCTTTTCACTTAATTACATTTAAGAATTATAAATCGTGGTCCCATAAGCAGCTTGATAAGAGCTGCATACCATTCAAATTTATAAATGAACTTTACTTATTAAGGTATTCTCTAATAAAATTCTTGTTTTAAAAATATAATTTATCTATTTTATTTAAAAAATTACATTTATTGTCAATTTCCAAATACAGCTTTGTAGTTCAGTTATTCAAACACATGCTCAATCATTCATATGTGTTAATGTGTAAGAACTCTTTCACAGAGATGTTAAAGTAATGACTGAATTAGAAGCAAAGTTTTCATTTTTTCTCCAAACACATATATGTATTCAAAATATCTGTAATATGTTCCTAGATAATTATAAAAATATTCAAAAAGTCAAACAATACTAATTTAAATTTGTTTTGGTTTCTGACATCTTTATGAACATATTTTCAGTTTGCTAGAGCAAAGTTTGCCAGAGCAAATAATATAAATACAAATAATTTTTTAAAATTATATAGGCTTTGTGTTTGTCAACATTTGCTCAGAGAAATATTGTACTGCTTAAAAACTTTATAGCTAAAATAAGACTTCTATAAGATTCTTTCCCATTTTAGGGACTTAATGACATTAATTAAATATACCAAAAAAGGTTTTAAGGACAATACACATCACATTTGATATAGTCTGAAATATGCCATCTAGATGATACTGGGAAAGACCACATACTCTGTTGTCAGCGAGAGTGCTTGTTATGTGTGGTTGACTCCTGATAGATACAGGCCTGAGCATTGTTGCAGCTCTGGGAAGTTCCCAGACCTTAAAGTCTATGTCTGCAATGGAGATAAAATTAGCCTGATGATTTCAAGACCTCTTCTGGGCATCTCCTGGTCAATTCAGGCAGCTCTGCTAATAGAGATAAACTTATGACTAGATCAAACGTAAGTCCATTTATCTAGCCAGACATGGACAGATTTCCTTGAAGAGTGTGATGGAATGCTATATTTTCAATTGTTTGCATAGCCATTTGCCACTGCTTACCACATTATGAGTTGATGAATAGCAATGCTAGCTGATGAACTAATTGATTCATCTCTTTATGCAATGCTAGTGTTATACTGGCTGAAAATGGTTTTGGTGCCCATGTTCACTTTTACATTTAGAAAAAGTTTTAGAAAAAATCAGCGCAAAGAGCATTTGAGACCAAATGATCCTAAGAAGTCTGAACAGATTGTCCAATGTTATCCTAGATAAGTATTGGCGTTAGTATAGTCCTCAGGCTAGAACAGTCTAATCTGTTCAATTAAGAAAAACAACAGCAACGAAGTTTGTTATTTCAAAATAAGTCATTTCACTACAGACCAAAATCTCTATACAATTGAAAGAGTTCTCACACATGTGTCATTTTGTCATCTCGGTTCAGAACTCTACTAATACAAATGAGATGTTACATAAACTATGTCTATAAATTAAGTCTATAATAATATATGATCCTCCAAATACACAAACTCATTTAATGACTGTTATTTTGAAATTCCACATTAATGTGTCTTTGATACCAAAACCAAATATTCTATGTCTGTTGCTCATATCATAAAACTCAGTCTTACAAATTAAGAAGCTTCATGAATTACAATTGACAGTGTATACTTTTGCGGATATTTCAAGTTAATAATGCTTTAAGAATGGGTGACTAAACTCATGGTAAAATGGGATTCCATCAAGACCAGCATGATAAGCCTTGGGCAGGCATTTTGGAAAACGGATGTCAAGGCCAGAAAATGGAGACAAGAACAATATTTCATGGATTTAAGCAGCCTCAGTGCTCCATGCTGCTTTGCCAGGCTTCAGGGGGAAAAAAAATTAACACTTTTGGAGTTGAAAATAGAAAAAGCACAAATTCAAACATATTTTTCTTTTTAATCAAAAGCTCTACTAGTGACCTTGATGCTTTGACAATTTTGGATCACGCATGCAAAATAATCAAACTCCATTCTCTACTCAGACAACAAGTGAAAATCACGTTTCCAGACAAACTAGCTTACAGCTGCCTCTGTATTATCTTCATACTAGTAAAGGGTTTAAAACATCTACTATCTAGAAAATAGATTATATACAAGCCTTGCATTAAAAAAAAATAATTAAAAAAAACCCTTGTCTTTGATTTTGATTACTGAATAAACAGAGATAACAGAACTGTGAACATCTTTGATTTTCCCCAAAATCACCCTTTGGAGGAAAGGAAAGTAGTGTAATGTTAATTATTCTGAAGTGTGTTTGAAAGGGCATCCATACCAAGCTCCACAGGAGACAAAAGAGTTTGACAAAAATTTAAACATGCATAGAGAAGCTGAAGAAACAAAGTTGTAAACAGTTATTGAGTTCAACCTAACACTTAGTTTAAACAGAGAAATATATACAGAGCATCACATACTACTGATGGTCGTGGCATGCAGACACCAAATTTGTCAAAATTTGCAACCTGCATAATACCTTTGGTTGAATTGCTCCAACGGTTACCTTCAGAATAATGGGATAAAGTCAGCAGATTGACACATGAACCCCCAGCACCAGATCCAAAAACAGTGATTCTTAAGGGGTCACCACCAAAGAATCCAATATTCTCACTAGTCCATCTTAAAGCCTGTATGAGATCAAGGAGTCCATAGTTTCCTTTTGCAGCCTGATCCCCTGTGCTCAAGAAACCTGGAAAACAGAAATAAAAAGACATCAAATAACACCGTTTTGAGTTGACATGAATCAGATAGACATCAAATTTAAATAAAATTGAAGCCTGTGTTCATCAAGATGAGTACAATCCAAGTTCTTTAGTAAAAATTTATTTCCCACCAGAATAGCATAATTTACTTTAGGAAGAATAGCAGAGACTAAAATCTGAAAAATGACATTTATCTTCCCCAGATGTTCCCAAGTTATCCAGCTAACAGGTAACAGGGGGCAGATAAAGAGAATGAAAACATTCTGAAAGACCTCAAGGGAGATATTCTAGGGGCCAAGTTACCTGGTGGAGATATTTGGGATAGTATCATGGGGTGTATGAGAATGTGTTTTTGCATAAATACTGTCAGTCCTCAAGTTGCTCGTGGTCTAATATGGTTGGAATTTAAGGTATGTGTGGCAGAGTGGCAGAATATGACGGTATAGAGCAGGGGTATTTTTCCAAGACTCATGCATAAAATTATATGCAACTCTTTGCATATATAGGTGTATGCACATTTTTATTGATGATGCCCCATGGTTAAGAATCACTGTACCTGACGTAATTTGAGGTTACATTTTAGAATGCCCTAAATGCTAAACTGAGGAGATCTGCTCAACTAGAAAACAGTGTAGAATATTTGAAGATTTTTGAAAAGCTGAGATTCATATTTCTCCAGTATTCAAAGCTCCACTTTATAGTGAATTTAATAATGAAAAGAAATATATGTTGAATAATAGAAAGAATGGAGGTGGTGAGACATTATAAAGATCTAAACTGATAGAGTGGAAAAGGCAATTGAAGAAAAAAGGAGAAGAACAGTCTAAAATTAATGAAAAGAAACCTCAATTAAAATAGAATTGGGAGGTCAGAAAGGAAAGCGCTCATGCCCTATGACAATAGCAGAGCTCAGCAGGAAGAACAAAAACTTTCCTTGCCTGGCAAGAACTCAGCCAATGAGAGACTCTCACAACTCAGCCAGTGAAAAGCCACTCTACTTCAAACTCTCAATTCCTCCAATGGACTCTTTGTTTACTACAGCCCTCCCAGCTTCCTTTTCCCCCTTTTAAAAAAGTCCTCCTCTCCTTGCTGTGAGGGGACTTGCATGTGGTTTGCCATGGTTGTAGACGCAAACAGCAATTCTCTCTTGATCCCAAACAAACCCATTTTTACTGCAGAAATAGCTGGCAGTCTACTTGTTTTAGGTCAACCTTTTGATAGCCTGCATGGGGATCAAGAGAAGACACTTGATGACTTCCAGGTTGATGGCAAACAAGTGTGATACCCTCATTGAGCCTGTTGTTACTCACTGCTTTACTCGCCAACCCTGGAATTGGAGAGTAAGTTTTTCTCCACTAAAGTGTCTGCCCTATTTGCATTTTGAAGTCCTCCAGGTTTTACTGGGGATCTGTTTTTTTTTTTTAATTTAATTTAATTTATTTTTTTATACAGTAGTTTTTATTAGTCATCCATTTTATACACATCAGTGTATACATGTCAATCCCAATCTCCCAATTCATCACACCCCCACACCCACCCACCCCCGCTGCTTTCCCTCCTTGGTGTCCATACGTTTGTTCTCTACATCTGTGTCTCAATTCCTGCCCTGCAAACCGGTTCATCTGTGCCATTTTTCTAGATTCCACATATATGCGTTAATATTCAATATTTGTTTTTCTCTTTCTGACTTACTTCATTCTGTATGACAGTCTCTAGATCCATCCGCATCTCTACAAATGACCCAATTTCATTCCTTTTTGTGGCAGAGTAATATTCCATTCTATATATGTACCACAACTTCTTTATCCATTCATCTGTTGATGGGCATTTAGGTTGCTTCCATGACCTGGCTATTGTAAATAGTGCTGCAATGAACACTGGGGTGCATGTGTCTTTTTGAATTATGGTTTTCTCCGGGTATATGCCCAGTAGTGAGATTGCTGGGTCATATGATAATTCTATTTTTAGTTTTTGAAGGAATCTCCATACTGTTCTCCATAGTGGCTGTGTCAATTTACATTCCCACCAACAGTGCAAGAGGGTTTCCTTTTCTCCACATCCTCACCAGCATTTGTTGTTCATAGATTTTCTGATGATGCCCATTCTAACTGGCGTGAGGTGATACATCATTGTACTTTTGATTTGCATTTCTCTAATAATTAGTGATGTTGAGCAGCTTTTCATGTGCTACTTGACCATCTGTATGTCCTCTTTGGAGAAATGTCTATTTAGGTATTCTGCCCATTTTTGGATTGGATTGTTTGTTTTCTTAATATTGAGCTGCATGAGCTGTTTATATATTTTGGAGATTAATTCTTTGCCCGTAGATTCATTTGCAAATATATTGTCTCATTCTGAGGGTTGTCTGTTCATCTTGCTTATGGTTTTCTTTGCTGTGCAAAAGCTTTGAAGTTTTATTAGGTCCCATTTATTTTAGTTTCTATTTCCATTACTCTAGGAGGTGGATCTAAAAAGATCTTGCTGTGATTTATGTCAAAGACTGTTCTTCCTATGTTTTCCTCTAAGAGTTTTATAGTGTCCGGTCTTACATTTAGGTCTCTAATCATTTTGAGTTTATTTTTGTGTATGGTGTTAGGGAGTGTTCTAATTTCATTCTTTTACATGTAGCTGTCCAGTTTTCCCAGCACCACTTACTGAAGAGACTGTCTTTTCTCCATTGTATATCCTTGCCTCCTTTGTCATAGATTAGTTGACCATAGGTGCCTGGATTTATCTCTGGGCTTTGTATCTTGTTCCATTGATCTATGTTTCTGTTTTTGTGCCAGTACCATGTTGTCTTGATTACTGTAGCTTTGTACTATAGTCTGAAGTCAGGGAGTCTGATTTCTCCAGCTTCGCTTTTTTCCCTCAAGACTGCTTTGGCTATTCGGGGACTTTTGTGTCTTCATAAAAATTTTAAGATTTTTTGTTCTAGTTCTGTAAAAAATGCCACTGGTAATTTGATAGGGATTGCATTGAATCTGTAGATTGCTTTGGGTAATATAGTCATTTTCACAACATTGATTCTTCCAATCCAAGAACATGGTATATCTCTCCATCTGTTGGTATCATCTTTAATTTCTTTCAACATTGTCTTACAGTTTTCTGCATACAGGTCTTTTGTCTCCGTAGGTAGGTTTATTCCTAGGTATTTTATTCTTTTTGTTGCAGTGGTAAATGGGAGTGTTTCCTTAATTTCTCTTTCAGATTTTTCATCATTAGTGTATAGGAATGCCAGAGATTTCTGTGCATTAATTTTGTATCCTGCAACTTTACCAAATGCATTGATTAGCTCTAGTAGGTTTCTGGTGGCATCTTTAGGATTCTCTATGTATAGTATCATGTCATCTGCAAACAGTGACAGTTTTTCTTCTTCTTTTCCAATTTGGATTTCTTTTATTTCTTTTTCTTCTCTGATTGTTGTGGCTAGGACTTCTAAAACTATGTTGAATAATAGTGGCGAGAGTGGACCCCCTTGTCTTGTTCCTGATCTTAGAGGAAATGCTTTTAGTTTTTCACCATTGGGAATGATGTTTGTTGTGGGTTTGTCATATATGGCCTTTATTATGTTGAGGTAGGTTCCCCCAATGCCCGTTTTCTGGAGAGTTTTTTTTTTTTTTATCATAAATGGGTGTTGAATTTTGTCAAAGCTTTTTCTGCATCTATTGAGAGGATCATATGGTTTTTATTCTTCAATTTGTTAATATGGTGTATCACATTGATTGATTTGTGTATATTGAAGAATCCTTGTATCCCTGGGATAAATCTCACTTGATCATGGTGTATGATCCTTTTAATGTGTTGTTGGATTCTGTTTGCTAGTATTTGGTTGAGGATTTTTGCATCTATATTCATCTGTGGTATTGGTCTCTAATTTTCTTTCTTTGTAGTATCTTTGTCTGGTTTTGGTATCAGAGTGATGGTGGCCTCATAGAATGAATGTGGGAGTGTTCCTTCCTCTGCAAATTTTTGGAAGAGTTTGAGAAGGATGGGTGTTAATTCTTCTCTAAATGTTTGATAGAATTCACCTGAGAAGCCATCTGGTCCTGGACTTTTGTTTGTTGGAACATTTTTAATCACAGTTTCAATTTCATTAGTTGTGATTGGTCTGTTCATATTTTCTATTTCTTCCTGGTTCAGTCTTGGAAGGTTATACCCCTCTAAGACTTTGTCCATTTCTTCCAGGTTGTCCATTTTATTGGCATAGATTTGCTTGTAGTAGTCTCTTAGGATGCTTTGTATTTCTGTGGTGTCTGTTGTAACTTCTCCTTTTTCATTTCTAATTTTATTGATTTGAGTCCTCTCCCTCTTTTTCTTGATGAGTCTGGCTAATGGTTTATCATTTTTGTTTATCTTCTCAAAGAACCAGCTTTTGGTTTTATTGATCTTTGCTATTGTTTTCTTTGTTTCTATTTCATTTATTTCTGCTCTGATCTTTACGATTTCTTTCCTTCTGCTAGTTTTGGGTTTTGTTTGTTCTTCTTTCTCTAGTTCCTTTAGGTGTAAGTTTAGACTGTTTGAGATTTCTCTTGTTTCTTGAGGTAGACTTGTATTGCTATAAACTTCCCTCTTAGAACTGCTTTTGCTGCATCCCATAGGTTTTGGATCATTGTGTTTTCATTGTCCTTTGTCTCTAGGTATTTTCTGATTTCCTCTTTGATTTCTTCAGTGATATCTTCATTATTTAGTAATGTATTGTTTAGCCTCCATGTGTTTGTGTTCTTTATGTTTTTTTCCCTGTAATTTATTTCAAATCTCATAGCATTGTTGTCAGAAAAGATGCTTGGTATGATTTCAATTTTCTTAAGTTTACTGAGGCTTGAATTGTGACCCAAGATGTGATCTATCCTGGAGAATGTTTCATGCGCACTTGAGAAGAAAGTGTAATCTGCTGTTTTTGGATGGAATGTCCTACAAATATCAGTTAAACCTATCTGGTCTATTGTGTCATTTAAAGCTTCTGTTTCCTTATTAATTTTCTGTTTGG